CACATGGCCTCGAGCAAAAGACATATTTTTACTGCATCCTTTAGAACCATGAATAGAGTTGTTCGCTCCATCAAACAAAAGGCTTGCAAAGGTACGAATAATTCCTCGAATTGTTAACTGAAAATCTCGTTATTTGTATCTTTCTTATCTTTCAAAACGCACGATATATCCTTGTCCTTCACATAGTGTGTTAGTAGGACAAGATGGGAAGGGGCATTTTATGCTTTATGCGTTGAAAGAGGTGCGACGTGAATGTATACAGGCACGACTTTCGTTCCAATCGTAATGGCCTTTGTCGTTTGATTTCAGGAGCAAGACCTACACCACATCCCAAGCCTTCCGGTAAGTAATAGAATCAATAAGTCGCAATTTGCTAAAGGCGTTTCCTGTGTCCACTATGACATCATGCAGGAAATAAGTGCACAACATGATATTCAGGCGGGCCAGTAGTCTATAACTATAAACTTACATCTGTTATTAGGGTGCCGCCTGATGTGTTGCAAGAGTCAGCTAATTTTAGACTGTAACGCACAACTWATCATATTCCTCGAAATTTTACGCCCTTTGCTGATAGGTCGTTGTTTAATATAGCCCACAAAAGCAACACCACGCTACGCGTCGTGGTTTCCTACGCTCCTCTCGTGTTCTCTCAAAATTCCCCATGTTTTGATCAGAGTATCAAACACGGAAAACTGTTTTTGATCTGTTAAATCTCATTGCCTTGCTATACAGTATTTAATAGATTAGTTTACCAAAACCAGTGACGGCTGCGAAGGAGGTTAATGAACTAAGAGAAGGATTCTCTGGTATTTATGCCTGCCACCATCAAAGGCACCGTTTAAAGCTATTTTTAGAATCACATTTACTATCATTTATTTTTCTGCACATGCACAATGCGCGCGCTCTACCCTGTTTGCTCACGGTGTTTTTGAAAAATACATTAAAGCATGACCAAACAGGGTATAGTGCGCACAGTACACGCGTGCAGAAAACAAATGTTCAATATAAATGATTCTTAAGATAGCACCATTGATTCTAAAGATATCATCAAAGAGTGCTCATAATGGGGCGCAGGGATTCCTTTTCTTAGTTCATTTTTATCTAGTATATATCTTACAATCTTATTCTCCTATTATCCTGCACGAAATCACATCCGATTGAAGGGTCTACCAACTTGCTAGCTCGCCCTTCTCGTGAAGTTGACCATATTTGGCATAACTAAAAATTGCTCACCGCCGAAACACATAGCTCGTTTTATATAACGGAAGATGAACACTTCTAATTATAAACTCCTGGACGTGCTAATTATCTTTATGCGTACACAGGACGTGCTCTGGCCGTCTATCCGCTTAACACTAACGTTCGTGGAAGAGACGTCAGCCTTAGTCGAAACCTCCCTGGAAGACTAGTCAACGTTCGTCCTGCTCGAGGTCCTGACGGAACACGCGGGGGTGCCTATAAATTCCTTGGTCGGTCTAACAGCTATATTCAGTTCGCTAACCGAGGCAAGCTTGATGCTAGAAATTCCATCACCTTGTTGGCTTGGATAAAGCACGA